AGACTGGAGTAATGATGCTGAAAATTCAGCTTTGCATCACAGGAATAAATTACATTTTAAAACATATTCAAATCGAAAACTGGTATTTTTAGATTGTAATATTATTTCACAATTTTACTGTTTTTACTGTATTTTTCATCATATAAATGCAGCCTTGGTGAGCAGAAAGAGATTTTCCAATTATTCCAAACTTTTGCCCCTGAGTGTATATTATAAATGACTGACTCCAGACTTCATTTTCAGATATTTGGTTTCTTGAATCTCATCCTATGGGTTGGGAATGCCTGGTTTGTGTATAAGGAGACGCGCTGGCACTCTCAGAAGGTCAACGCTCAACAAGCGGCAGGACGGGGTCCAAATCCAGCACCCATCTAAACAATTACCCCACAGCATAACAATGCCCACCGTAGCCGTTATGAAAAACACAGTAACAGTTTGTCTGTAAGAACAATAATCATATGACTGCCGTGTTCATTTGTGAGATTTCTCTCTTCACCTTTTCTGTTTCTTGTGTACTTGAAGAAAATATATTTTTTTACCTTGGTTATATTTTTATTAGCATGCTTTTTTGAACTTTTAATGGAAATGCAACATGTTTTGAATGTACTATTACAATATATTTTACTTTTATGATATATATTGTCAAATCAAGTATAAAAATCTTGAAAACAGTTGTTTTGTCAACCTCTATACGTTTAAGTGTTACACAGCATCATTTCTGTGTATTCTTGCATTTAAAAATAGCAGTTTCTTCTTTCTTACCAAATTCCTTGTTGCGTTTATATTGTTATCTATGCCGTTTTTATGCAGTATTAAGCTTCAGTCGCATTTTTAATGGTGCTGGAGTTTTGTTTAGGAAGGTTTTCTCTCTTTTCTTGTTCGTGCTTCTGTTTCTTTAGGGAAGCATTGTTCTCCTGCCACTGAAATGTCATTTTTTGAGGAATAAAGCTGACTGTGAAGTGCACTTGGTAGTGGACTTTGTGCTTCTGGGGAGAAAGTGTGAGTTCTTACCCAAATAAATCCTGGCTTCCTTCTGGTATAATGTCGCTTTTTGTTTGCCGGCTCATCCTGTGACTTCACTGATCAGCATTTGTCAAAAGAACAACAACAACAACAAAAACATTATCTGGAGCGAAAGCCGCAATCTGGTAGTTCACAGTGTTAGGCTGAACGCCTGGCCTGTTTATTCACATATTCATATCTCAAATAATTTTTTTGTGTCGTGGTTGTGCATTTAGTGCAGGATAGGTGGGTTGAGTTCAGCCTGTAGTGCATTACTTTAAATAATAAAAATAACTAAATGGTGCATTGATATTTAGTATACAGCTTTTTTTTGTCTGTGAAATTAAATTATTGACATTCGTCACAAATGATTTACCTACAGGATCACAAAAATCTGCGCCTGAATGATAACCAAACTAAAGCCCACACCATGTGAGGATGACAATTAAAACAACATCGATAACTGTATTAAAAAAGGCATTTTAGTCTACTATTACTGTCATAATCAACAATAATAACTAGTAGTAATACTTTTTTAGGAATGTGTTAATTATATTTTATGTAAACAACATGTTTAAACATAAATTTAGTAGTTATAGAATCAATAATAATAGTAATAATTATTATTTTAAATACATTTTACATTTATATTACATTTATTAGTAATAGTAAGTAAAACCATTATTACTAGTTGTTGAAGATAATAATAATTAGTATTAGTATTATGATTGTGGTTATTATTATTATAAGTTGTATTAACTGTTGATTATAAAATTAATAACATTTTATTACTTGCATAATATATAGCAAATATTAAATAATATATTAATTAAATGAATAAAAATAAAAAGGTACTATTACTATGTAAATAATAATAATTATCATCATCATCATTGTTATTAATTGTTGCTATTAATAACATTTAGAATTATTTTTCATTATTCATTTAATGAATGTATTAATTAATATTTATTTATATACAAACACTAAAATTAGATTAATTTATAATCAACAATTATTACAACTACCAATAATAATGATGATGATGATTATTATTATTTACACTGATATTCCTTTTATTTTTATTTATTTAATTAAAGTATTCCTTTAATATTTATTACATATTATGTAAACATTACAATGAAATTCATTTGATACTTAACAGTTTATACAAGTATTACAAATAACACCAATAATATTAATAACAATAATTATCTTCAACATCAACGACTTGTAATAATAGTAATAAGTAGTAATACTACTAATAATATGATTACATGATTTTATTAATTATTGCTAGTAATTACATTCATATTAATTGTGCCATTATTAATGCATTAATTAATTATTATGTAATTAAAATGTAGAAATGAAAGTAAACTATCACTACTACTACTACTACTAAAATGGCGTAAGGACGATTAGAATATAAGAATAATTGTGTAATATAAGAATGCACGATGTTCAACCTTTCACCTTTCCGTCTCTGAAGCCGAGCGCAGCCGAGCGCTGGCCGAGCGCTGGCCGAACTGTGGCGAAGGTGGCGTCATATGTTTCTCTCGCTCGCTCGTCTCGCAGTCTGTGAAGGAAGAAGGAAGAGCAATGGCGACGCTGTACCGCCGCGCGCTCACACTGCACACAGGAGCCACAACACGCACTGTAAGTCACATTAGCGCCCTCAGACACCCGCTCGACTGCAGTACGACCCTCGATGATGTCAGGGTTTATAACTGGAGCTCGCGCGTGCATCTGCGCTGCCGCATAAACAATGCATGCAATGCCGTGCATTCCTTTCGTCATCTGTCACGATTGATTGACAGGTGTCGCGCTCTTCTGTACTTTACGCGTCAATGTTAGTGGCTCAGGAGACGGAGTGTGTATAAGTTTAGACACTGTGTTTGTGTGCGTATTTGTATGTGTGTGTGTTGCTTTGCTGGATCAAGACAGCCATCTAGCTACCAGTATCTGTAACTGTGCATGCTCGGTAACTGGTTGGTTACAGTGTCAGTCTAATGCATGCGGCGATATTGAATCTTTTCAGATCTTTACTCTGATGAAGACATTTTACAGCTGGTAGGTTTGATTTCAATTTCTTGCGCAAAAAGGTTAATTCCTCTTCAGGCTTTCATATTAGCTGGTTAACCTTGGTCATTTAAACTGAATTCTTATTTGAGGAAATTCAAGTTCCCTCATCTGCCCTCTTGTTTTTAATGTTTTGGGCAGTAACGTATGTTCAGGTAGTGTGTGTGTGTGTGTGTGTGTGTGTGTGTGTGTGTGTCATGATGGTGGGTTTCTTCTCGTGTCGTCATGTTGTTATTGCTGTCAGCTCATATAGGCTTAGGGTAATACTGTACTTTCACAGCATGCATTATCACTGTTTGCACCTTCAATAGTTTTCCATTGTTGTCACCATACCAGCATTTCATTAGTTCATACAACATGCTAATAAAAAATCTTGAAGTATTATTATAATTGCATGCTACCAGTGAAACTTAATTTTTTTTGTGCCTGCTTGAACAATACTTGAGTATTTACAGCAATAAAAAGAGCATTTTAATGTTTTATATTTATCCGTTTTATTTTAATAAATAATGTTAATATGTTATTGTAATTATATTAAAATAAATATCTAAATTATATTTTACATTTATTTTAATTACTAATAATGTCTTTATTGTATTTTATTGAAATAAAAATATTGTAATAAATAATATTAATATGTTATATTATTGTAACTATACTATATTAAAATAAATAAACAATTTAAATGGTTTTAATATTGCATACTTTTATTTTATTTTAATTAATATATTTTTTATTTTATTACAATACACATTTTAATTGTATTTTTATATTTTAAATTTTATAGTTGTATCTTAATAAATAATATTTTTATTGTGATTGTATTAAAATTAATATCTTAATTTTTTGATTATCAAATTTTATTTGTTATTTACATGTAAAAGAAGCAGTACTTCCGTACCATGTTGTGCTAAAATAAAAAGTAATAATAATAACAACAACAACAAAAAATATTTTTATTGTAGTACCAACTTGGTTTAAAAATACTAGTTCTTTTGCATTTAAAATAATAATGAAAAATCTATTATATCTTTTATATATGTTGAGTAAAAATCATTAACAAACATTGCATTATATAAGCTATATTAGCTGAACAGATCTACATTCAGATACTTAGGAAGGGATCTGTTTCACATACTAATTAAAACAAAACAAAAAACAGTCAGTGGCATTTCGCACTTACTTCACGGTATTCATAACAATACAGTTGTATTACATTCTGAACATAACCATAACATTTAAGTGTCTGACTGCGACACACACAAGCAGCTGGTGTTAATGCAGTTCAGCTCAGTTTTTCTCATTGTTAACACCAGCACTAGCTCTCAGTGTGAGCGTGTGTGTTCTCAGTGTGTACTAGCGGAAGTGCGCAGTGATTCTGCATGGATGGTGAAAGAAAGCTCAGCGGATCTGACAAGCTCCTCTGAACGCTTACGTCACAGTTCTCCACTGATCATCAGCTTTAGCCATGAGTGACTAAATATTTCACTAAACGTGAAGTATAATGAATGGGTCACTAGTCCGTCCTGCTTTAAAACACGAGCTGAGTGACATAAAACTGTGGTTTCCATTTGTTCAAATTAAAAGTCTTAATCAAATCTCAAAATGTCACTTTTGGTGGGTTATACATGCTATCAAGTCAGCCCTCACTGGCAACCTTCGTTAATAATTTAGTGGGTCAGATGTGGAAAAAATGTCACCTAGAATAATTTTCATGTCGCTCACGGCTGTAACATTATTATTATATAAATTTAATGGAATAGTTCACCCAAAAATGGAGATTTGCTGACAATTTACTCACTGTCAGGCCATCCAAGATGTAGATGAGTATGTTTATTGGAACAGATTTGGAGAAATGTAGCATTCCATCATTTGCTCAGCAATGGATGCTCTGCAGTGAATGGGTGCCGTCAGAATGAGAGTCCAAACAGCTGATAAAAACATCACAATAATCCACAAGTAATCCACACCACTCCAGTCCATCAATTAACATCTTGTGAAGTGAAAAGCTGTGTGTTTGTAAGAAACAAATCCATCATTAAGGCATTTTTAACTTCAAACCGTTGCTTCCGGCTAAAATACGACTCCTCTATCCATAATATTGCTTTCTTCAGTGAAAAAGTCATCTGGTCTGAATCAGGAGAGAAATCTGCACAGATCAAGCACCGTTTACAAGTGAAAACAGTCCAAAACAGCTCTAAACAAATATGTGGGTGGGTTGTGATGTGAGAGAACACTTTTTCACTGCAGGAAGTGTTATTATTGGATTATAGACTTCTATTTTGTCAAGAAGTGACCATTTTAAGTTAAAACGCTTTAATGTTGGATGTGTTTCTTACAAACATGCAGTTTTTTTCTTCACAAGATGTTAATTGCTGGACTGGAGTGGTGTGGATTACTTGTGGATTATTGTGATGTTTTTATCAGCTCTCGTTCTGACGGCACCCATTCACTGCAGAGCATCCATTTGTGAGCAAGTGATGGAATGCTACATTTCTTCAAATCTGATGAAGAAACAAACTCATCTACAGTTTGAAATGCCTGAGAGTACGTTTTCAGCACGTTTTAATTTTTCGGTGAACTGTTCCTTTAAGAGAGTGTTTTCAGAAAGCTGCGATAAGCAACACTTTTCTCATGTTTGCATTGGGAGAAAACGATGACAATGTTTGTTACACCACAGGACCATTTTGAAAAAAATCTTTTCTTCCAGTCAAGCTTTTAATCATGTTGTCAAAAGCAAGACCGCACTATTGCCAGATGATTTTTTCGTGTAAACTACAGCAGATGTGAGATTCATGCTAATAAGTCTAGTGGTTTTAAAAGTTGTCATATTTACTGACTCTCTCTCTCTCTCTTGGCTGTAGATATGCTTTTGTATAGTCACGTCCCAACCCATGAGGATTTCAAACCCGTTGTTTGCGATGCCTGCAACAAAGTCGTTAAGCCTCAGGACGTCCTGACTCATTACGGTAAGTGAGTGTTGACCAGAACGTGACTCGCTGACAGTCATTTACCGATTTATGAGGAGGATTTTATTTGAACTTAATGGTCTCGTTGAGTTCTCATTTTCTTGACATTAGTGCACTGAAGTGTGTGTTAAAGGCTGATATTTCCGATATTCAGTTCAGAAACCCATTATGCGCTTTGATATTATGATTATTATCTGATATTAATGATCTAGAAAATTGTGAGTCTGATTGCTTCATTCACGTCTGTATTGTTGTGAAAGTCTGTTCAAATCACTAACCTTGAGCATGAGCAGTAATAATAGTTATGCTTGCATTAATTAAATCAAAACCTTAATTCTATGGCTAGAGCTTAATATATAGATATGCAAAAGTAATCTGTGTAAGGTTAAAATAGAGGTGTTTACTGCTGTAAAGCAAGAATCATAGAGTCATTTGCTGTTTACATTATAATACATGTTGCACACCACAGTCTTAAACCGGAGGCGTGTTAAAACTGTTTAATTTAGCACACGTCATCAACATAACCTTCTATTAGATCTGGGCACTGAGTGAGAGAAACTGACTGGTTTTAACAGCATTCAGATTGAACAGATTGAAAGTTGTTGTTAAGTTGAAAGAAGTCTCTTTATGCACACTAAGACTGCATTTATTTGACCATAAAATACAGTAAAAAAAGAAAAGAAAAGTAAAATTGTGAAATATTATTACAATTTAAAATAACTGTTTTCTGTTTTAATATATTGTAAAATGTAATTTATTCCTGTGATGCAATGCTGAATTTTCAGCAGCCATTACTCCAGTCTTCAGTGTCACTGCAAAATAAAAAACAATTGTTCAATATAAAACTATTCTCTTTATAGTTAATTATAAAATGTTCAGAGATACACCACCATTCCAAAGTTTAGGGTCAGTAGGATTTTTTTTTTAATTTAGTAGTTTTATTTCACAAGGATGCATGAAATTAAGTGACGTTTATGAATAGACAAAAGATTTATTTAAAAATGCATTCTATTTATAAAAAAATGCAATATTATGGTTTTCACAAAAAATATGAAGCACAGCTGTTTCAATAATAGTAATAATAATAATAATGAATGTTTCTTGAGCAGCAAATCAGCATATTAAATGATTTCTGAAGGATCATGTGACACTGAAGACTGGAGTAATGATGCTGAAAATTCTGCTTTGCATCACAAGAATAAATTACATTTGAACATATATTCAAATAGAAAACAGTTATTTTACACAATATTACTGTTTTTACTGCATTTATCTTGGTGTTTGTGGCTTTAAAGGGACAGTTCACCCAAAAATGAAAATTGCCATCATTTACTCACCCTCAAATTGTTCCAAACCTCTATGAGTTTCTTTCTTTTGTTGAACACAAAAGAAGATATTTTAAAGAATGTTGGTTACCCAACATTCTTCAAAATGTCTTTTGTGTTCAACAGAAGAAAGAAACTCCTACAACTTAAGGGTGAGTGAATGATGACGGAATAAAAATTTTTGGTTGGACTATCCCTTTAAAAATGAGTTTGTATTGCATTGTTGTGCTGAAACACCATTGCGGGGAATGTTAAAAACCGAAAGAGGTCTCGTTCAAAAAGCATCCTGTCCCGGGGCAGAATGGCTCCACCAATCTGCCATCACCGGTTTTCCAGCTCGTCTTGTTTGCTTTCGTTTTAGCCTCGCCGCGCTCGTCTCGTCTGCTCGGCTCACATCTGTCTTTGATCTTGTGCCCAGAACACGTGCGCTCGCGGAACGGAGAGGTGTCTCGCGCGGCGTGAGGCGATGGTAATTCACAGAAGGCCCGTTGGCAGCTCGCCCTCGCCCCCTTCCGACGGCGATTTCACATAGCTGCCTTTCTCTCTCGTCCCCTGCCGCCCCCTTTGAGAGCGGAGAGGCTGCGAGGGTTCAGCGCAGAGGTCAACGACTCACAGCTATTCAACTCAAAACACCGCGGCCCAGAAAGAGAAGGCGGGATGCCTTCAGTCACACAGGAGGCTTGCTATTCTCTCGTCTTTTTCTCTTTCGCTTTCTGTTTTTTTTCTTCCATCCTCTCAACCGCCGCAGAGCAGACAGGCTGGGTAAGTGTGTCTCCTCGACCAACGTGTGCGTGGTATTCACAGCGGACGCTTTTGAACGCTCACGTGTTTGCTTAGCTTTCAGTTTTCGCGGTTTTGGGCACTGTTTGTGAGCAGGATTGGACCTCGCTAGTGGTCATCTTCCTGCAGTCGCGGGCCGGATGTAAACAAACGTAGCTCAGCTGGTGCCTGTGGCTTCCTGTGGCCTGTCAGATTGGGAGACGCTAATAGCAGACCACACACACTGAGACCTGTGTGAACAGGTTTACAATGAGTGATCTCACTACTACGCAACTTGTACCTTATTTATTAGTTTTTAAATGTTGGGACAATGTTACGAAACTGTGAAGTTTTATCCTGGGTGTTTTTGTTAGGTAATTAACACTCTTGCTTTGATTTGTTACAACTTGTTGGGGAGAGGTGCGCGAACGCTTTTCTGAGCATTCTGACTTCTTTATAAAACTGATGAAGAAATCCCACAGACTCGCATTGGAGGAGGGACCTGAGTCATATCTAGAGACCAGAATATCACAGAGACTTGAAGCTGCAGGACTCTTTTCACTTGGGCCAGTAAAAAAAAGAAACACCTAGCAACCGCATAGCAACACACTGAAAACCCCTTAGAACACTTTAGAAACTACAGCAACAACGCTACAGCAAATGGATAGAAACTAGGGGTGTAACTGTACACAAACATGACGGTTCGGTTAGGGCTGCACAATTAATCAAATTTCTAATCGCGATTACAATTATGGATGCCACAATTACGTAATCGTTCAAAGTCCACTTATGTTATTCTGCACGCTTAAGATATGTTTTTTTCTTTCTACATGTTATCTTAAGGGTTTTTCCATTGTTTTAGTTTTAGTATAACATTATAATACCATTCATATTTTTACTTTTTTTTATAATTTAAAGAAGAAACCAATCCGATGTATATTTGATATTTGAGGCTTAATACTATAGAAAAGCACTAACGATTTTTTCAGTTAGAGTGTTTTCAGCTTGTTTATTTTCATATAAAAATATGGCATGCAGTTGCATCAAGCAATGGTATAAACATCATTCAATGTAAATTGTGATAATCGTAATTAATAATCGCAATTACAATTTCAAGGGAATAATCGACAATTATGATTTTTGTCATAATCGTGCAGCCCTAGGTTCGGTACGTACCTCGGTTTTGACATCACGGTTCGGTATGTTTTCGGTACAGCAGGGGAAAAAACTAAACATAAAATTGCTTTTTTCAATTATAATTTACATTTTCTTAGGATAAAAATCTACCTCAGCTTATGATCTAAACTATAGGGAGCGCTTTTACATTATTATAAGATTGCAATTAACAAAAAAGCCCAAACTTAAATTTAATTACTATTTATTTTTTAAAATAATAATCAACACTCAACTAAAAAAAAAGGTATGCAAACATGTAGATTGCGCATAATGCAGTTTTTAAATTAACTTCTAGGCCTAGATGATAAAATTTCTATTTGTTGTTGAAATATATTCATTTAGCTACACAGTGCCTAACATAACTTGTTTCATAACAGATTCATTAAGCACATTAAATGATTAAGACATCACTAACAGGTAAAGTAAAATATGATAAGCATATAGTCAAATTTTTCAGGAAATACTCTTCTCTAGACTTCATTTCTCTAGTGAACTAACGAGGTGTGAACACTGATGACTTGTCTGAGGTAAACGAAATGCTACGTGGCATTTTGTTTTGACGTCTTTCCGTGGTTGAAACACTGATTGAGAGATTACATGAGGTATGAGATGTTCATTCATGTTTATTTCGCGTTAAAACTAGTAGTAAAAAGGAAGGGATAATCGCGCTCACTCATGCTCCGTGCTGCCGTTTGAACTGAGGCGTTTATACAGCGATCTGTCATGCCACATCAAAGAGCGCCAAAACGGAATTTATTGCTTGAATTTCTTGAAACAATGTCGCGTTAAATCTAGTAAAGAGGAAGAGATGATTGCGCTAGCTGTCGCGCCACATCAAAGAGTGCCAAAACCACATTTGTTTGAATTTCCTGAATAAAATGGACATAATTTGAAAGATGAGACTTTGTTTCTTATCAAAAGTAACATGCGTACCGAACTGAAAGACCTGTATCAAACATTTTATGTGTACTGTTACACCCCTAATAGAAACACACTTAAAACATTTAGAACTCTCTAGAAACCTCATAGCAATGCACTAAAAACAATCAGAACACCATAGCAACTGCATAGCAACACACTTAAAACATTTAGAACTCTCTAGGAACCTCATAGCAGTTCACTAAAAACAATCAGAACACTATAGCAACTGCGTAGCAACACACTTAAAACATTTAGAACTCTCTAGGAACCTCATAGCAGTTCACTAAAAACAATCAGAACACCATAGCAACTGCGTAGCAACACACTCAAAACATATAGAACACTCTATCGACCACATAGCAACAAACTAAAACACCATAGCAACTGCATAGCAATGCAATTAAAACCATTTAGAACTCTAGAAACCTCATAGCAATGCACTAAAAACAACTGCATAGCAAAACACACACATACGTAGCAATGCCCTTAGTTAAGGTAATTATGACCTTTTTATCTCACGATTCTGACTTTTTTTCTCGCAATTGCGAAGTTAAAATTTTGCTATTCTGACTTTTATCCTCACAATTGTGTGATATAAACTCGCAGCTGAGAGTTATAAAGTCAGAATTGAGAGATATAAACTTGCAATTCTGAGAAATAAAGTTAGTCTTTCTTTCCTCAGAATTAGGCTTTATAATTCGCAGTTACGTGTTTATATCTCATAATTCTGAGAAAAGAAGTCAGAATTGCGAGATATAAATTTACAATTGCGAGAAAAAAGTCAGAATTGCAAGATATAAACTCGCAATTGCGAGAAGAGTCAGAATCGCAAGTTGCACAATTCTGACTTGATTTCTCGCAATTGCAGGATATAAATGTGCAATTCTGAGAAAATTGTGACTTTTTTCCTCACATTGCGAGATATAAAATCGCAATTGTGAGGAAAAAAGTCAGAATTGTGATATAAAAAGTCGCTTTTACTGCCATCACATCAGTTGAGCTGGAGAAGAAAACCAAACACAGAAAACGGTTTACGCTAATGTCTGCGATAGCGCCCCTTGTGGCAGCACTGAGAACAACACATTTCTAAACGCATCAAATCAAACTAAAAGTGTTAGTGTTTACTTCCTTTTTGTATTTTGTGCATCTCAACATCCTTTTAAAGACACACCAACTGTAATTGATTGTCTTCAGATGATTTTAGCAGCATCAGAATATCAGCATACCTGTGAACACGGTGGACTTTGGCCTTTTTATTTGTATTTTTATCTCAGTCCAGCTGCACAGGATATACACCTACAGGCATATTTACACACCTGCCTCGTATTCAGACCAACCTGATGCTGAATTTCCCCTTGCGGCCGGGCCATTGTTTCTCTCTTTTGGTCTACGGTCAGACTTTGTTGTGAGCGAGGGGTTCTCCTCGTCCAAACAGAGCCTCTGAAATCAGCTCTTTTGAGTCCTCGCGAACGGTGTTGTGGCTCTTGGCTGAGATTCGCTGGCAGACGAGACACGATGCGAAGGCCAAGGCCGGTTAGTGAGCTGCCAGATCGAGCCAGGAGCTTTATTATTATTCACTTCGAACATAAACAAGGACTTTTTTTTGTTTTTTAGTACAGTAATCTGGCTCAGTGTAGTGTTTTGAAACCCCATACATCAATTATATGTTGTAGGCCCCTAATTTGTGTTGTGTTGTGTGTGATAATAAGTGTTTGTAATTGCAGGTAGTTGGGGAATAGTTGAACAGTGAGTAGAGAGGAGCGCGTCCACCTCGAGCCCTCCAGAGCCATGCATAGCAAGAACCGTAAGTGTATTAAAAGATGTCTCAGAGTTGTTTAATTGTATTTCTTCTTTAAACAGCAGCAAAGATAGTGTTAGTGTTTGATTCATTTCTGTGAATCAGTTCAAACTGTCCATTTTAGTGAATTAATTCAAAACTCTTCATGTAGGTAAATAGTGCATAATAATAATAATAATAATAATAATAATAACAATTTAATGAAATAAAATAACTAAATATTAATATTTGTATTATTTAATTTATGACTTTTGTATTGTTTATTGGTGCATATAAATAACATTATTTATTTGAAAACCAATATTAAATTAAACTAGTGTGGGCAAAATTTTACTGTATTACACTTTTTTTATTTAAGTAATAATAGTATTATAATAATAATAATTTATTTTACTACACACATTTAAGCATGACTTTGTAGCTTATAAGTAATATGATTATTTAAATGAAATAACAAAAGTTATTAAATTATTATTATATTATTTATGATTTATGTACTGTTTTCCTGGAGCAAATAAATAAGATTTATATATTTATATGAGTCAATATAAGAATGAAAATATTATATTACAATATTGAAAAACAGTGTGGAAAACATGTATTGATTATTTTTAACTAGATTTTATTGTATTTTGCTTATTGAAAAAAATGATTAAATAAATACAAGAAGAAAAATAATAATGTTTTATTATTATTATTATATATTTTACATATTATTTTATTTGTGCTACACCCATTTATCACATACGGTTTTCATTTACTTGTAAGCATGACTTAATTTTCATGGTTGGTCAACTTTTAGTTTCATAATTTTGAAACTGCAGTTTTGTTTTCAGCCCCAGATTCCTCAACATACGTCTTACTAAAACTGAAAAAGTCAATCGAAAACCTCACAAACTTCTCTTGAATGTTGTAAGTGGGTTGTGTGGAATATTTGCAGCTCAACATAAGTGTGCACATATTATTTTTACTGTATTATGATTTGGGACGCACTTACGTTAATCTTTTAATGTTGTATAGGATAGACAGTATATTATTTGGGACTCAGTCCAGTAGTTTATCTGCCTCAGCACTTCCTGTACGGAGTCTCATGATCTTCTGACGGCTGTATTCGTGTGTCAGAGAGGAGACACTGCTCACCCAGCAGCTCCAGGACCCCTCTGGTTCCTGTCAAGGCCAAGATGTCGGTGGGCCAGAGCGAGGTGGAGCCCCTTCCCTTCCGGGTTCCTCGCGATTACCCACACTCACGCTTCAGCAAGGCGCCGCTGGCCGTCTATCCGCCCAAAGGAGCCCGAGCCAAGGCCTGGTGGGTAACCCCCCCCCTTCCAATCATAAATGCTTCCTCTGACAAATGCTGGATTATTGGTTAAATTAACTGTAAGAAAGTGTTTGTAAACATCAACTAATGCTCCAATGTGATTGTCATATTCACACCAAATGTTTGAATCAATGTTAGAGTTTCCTGACATATTTGAAATTAAACACAATTTGTATCAATTTATACTTTTAATAATTAATTTTCCAGCACAAGTTACCCATAAAGATGTCATCATGTAACATACAACATTATTTCCATAAATGCTAGATGATATTAATAATTAGTGTTAGAAATGCCACCTATACATATAATAGATTAGAACAGAACTTTTGATATTATTACTTATGCGTATAATTATTATTTTATAGAAGAACACTTAACTTCCCAGAAAGCTCTTGATTTACCCCAAATTATGATGTAAATATTTATTGTAATAAAGTTATATGTAAGCATTGGTGAACATTTTATATGTCAACATTCATTATGTTCAGGTATTGAATTTTAGAGAAATATGTGCAATATGAAAACATTTATTGTGCAATTTGAAAAATGTATTATTGGTCATCTTTGATCAAAATTAATGATGTAATATTTATATAAATTAATGGTGATAATATTTACACTACTGTTCAAAAGTTTGGGGTCAGTAAGATTTTAATGTTTTTGAAAGAAGTTTCTTCTGCTCACCAGTGATGCATTTATTAGATAAAAAATACATTAAAAGCATAGTAAAAATGTGAAATATTATTACAATTTAAAATAACTGTTTTCTATGTGAATATATTGTAAAATGTAATTTATTCTCGTGATCAAAGCTGAATTTTCAGCATCATTACTCCAGTCTTCAGTGTCACATGATCCTTCAGAAATCATTCTAATATACTGATTTGCTGCTCAAGAAACATATTATCTGATTATTAATTCTGATTATTATCTCATTATTTGTGGAAACCGTGATGCATTTTTCTTAGGATTCTTTGATGAATAGAACAGTTTAAAAAAAAAACTTTTATGTCGATTCAAATTACAATTCCACTTCCTGTGGTTGTGACCAATTTTTTTTTTTTTATTCAAATACTCATAAATTGAAAGGGAGTTGAATTTACGTTTGGAAATTTTACTCTATGCAAGTTCAAATCTTAAAATACACAATGTCTTTTCTCTAGCGTGTCTTTACCTGTGGTGAGTCTGGAGAAGATGCCGTGTTTCAACCGATCGGAGGGAGCGCTCATCAAAGTCACCTCCACGTCTCCCACGGCGGGTTCTTCTCTTTCTTTCACCTCCACGTCTTCCTCTCCATCTTCCGCTTCTCTCAAGTCCTCCTTGACGTCACCAGCATCTCACAAGAACCAGGAGAAGTTCCTGAACGGTCGCGGTCCTGTGACACCTCGCTCCACCACGCCCCCCTCGCTGATTGACAGGCGGCCCAGCCCGTCACGGTCGCCCTTGGAGAAACGGCCCGCCCCCTCGCCCTCCCCACAGGACAGGAGACCCGCGGCCTCCACGTCTCCATCCCTATTGGACCGGAGACCGATAGTCCCTCCTTCTCCACCAGACAAGAAGCATCAGAATGGAGCCAAAGGCGGGCGGCACCGAAGAGTGTCGGGTGAGTAGCAAACGCTTGTTTAATGCAGTCATACCAAGGACACTATAGTTCTATGTAAGTGAGGATAGCAAAATAAAGTGAACTGTGACATACCCACAAATTCTTCATACAACGGACTACCAGTAAAATTTATAAAAATTTGGGACCAGAAATTATTCAGACACTTTGACCTGACCATGTTTTGCTTAAGTGTTTTTTCTTTAATTGATAATGCGACCTTTTTACACCACAGACTGAACAAAATTAAGCATTGCTTGGTAATTGGTTGACCTAAATTGGTATTATCTAATTGTGTACTTAAATGCAGCTGACAGCTATTCAACAGAATTCATTACATACCTTTCTGTCTCATCTGTCTCAGTTATCTGACATTATCAAGATGAATTTGTTGGGACACAGTTTAACTCTGAGTTCTTGTCATATTGAATACATTTTGGTTTGACTGTAACTTTTGCTCTGAGGTTTGTTTTGAAACCAGAAGAAATGCACTTGCAGCACATTTAACTTCATTTGTTTTTTTTAGCTAAACTAGAAATTCAGCTGGAAATAATGTAGGAAACAACTTGGATTTGATTGGTCAGGAGAAGGCGGGGCTGTATGGCTTTGGTGATGTCATCAGAAAAGAAAAGGCATTAGTGGATGCCTTAGTGGAATGTGCTTAATAAAATATGACTTCAATGAAAAATTATATCCTAGATGCTACTATTGTTAATTAAAACTATATATATAAAAAAATGTTATTTACTCTAAAGAAAGCTGAAATAAAATAAAGCATTAATACTGTAAGTAAAACTTTGAAATAAAAATGAAAATTATAAATTAATTTGCTTAAAGTATAATTTTAATGAAAAAAAAAATTCAGTACTGTTTTATGTGGTTAAGTAGGGCTGCCACTAACGACTATTTTTATTTCGATTAATCTAAACGATTAATTTCCCGCAAAAAAAAAAAAATCAACAATTTTACTTAAGAATATTTTATTAAACTATATTTCATTAAACCAAATCACTCAAATCAAAGTTCAGTATTATAGTGTAAGAATGACAACATATCAACATAACATATTCAAGTCTACTACTAATAAAATTATAATCAAAAAACACTTTTTAAAGGAGTATTTACCACAAATATTATTTACCAGAATTTATTTAGGAGAAAAATGTAAATATGCAGTATTTCTGAAACCCCCCCCCCCCTTTTTTTTTTATTTTTTTTTAATAAAATCAATTAATTGGAGATGCTTTTGATTATTAAAATTTTATGGAACCATTAAAATAGAATCCAGAAAATATTGGAGAACAGAATTTGGTAAAGATAAAACTGTAAAACTCAATTAATTAGACAGGCATTTTGATTAATACAATTTTATGTAACCATTAAAACAGAGTATAGAAAAATAAAACTGATTTCATAGTGCCCTATAATTATAATTAATTTTTTGTGGTGATAAAAATAGATGTAAGTGAACAATAGCCTTTAAAATTACTTAAAATACACATATATAATAGCAATGAGGCAATAATAATTAGTTCAAATAAAGTATCAAAAGCAAGAAATCATATGGTTATGATTTACCTTACAAATCTGATGAAATGGTGCATGTTGCGTTCCCAGATGAACGTTATAATAAACCCAAACTCACAACAACATGCAGAGATGGAGTTTGAGACGCTCCACACATGTAAATGATAACAGTTCCTGCGGAACTACTGTGAACGGAGCCACTGTGTGACGCATGTACTTAAACTACACGCATGTAAATAATTAAAGCGCATATACTGTATTAGAACAGCATCGCATATAATTATTTAATTAAATCGTAGCGTTTGTGAATTCACAATTATGCTTAATTATGATGCTTAATTAAATGGGTTTAATATATCATGCAGCCTTGGAAAACAGACTAATAATGTGTTTTATACATTCTCGTCTGTGAAATGCGCCACTTCCGGTATTTTGCCGGTTAGTCGACGCGAGCAAAATTAAGTCGAGGATTTTAAAAAATCGAATAGTCGAATAAAGTCGACGAATCACGACAGCCCTAGTTATAAGCAGTGTTTTTGTTGTTTAAACTATTAAAAATAATTTTGTTATATTAGAAGGAAAAATTAAGCAAATTCATTTATCATTTTCATGTTCAATAAAACATAATTTTAATGAAAATTGTTTTCCTTTATCTTTTTAGTACTGTATATTTGATAGGGTTATTAGCAGTGTTGTTTTTGTTAAATAAACTAAAAATACTAAAAATAATTTTTGATAATTACAATAAAGCTGAAATAAAAATATACATAAATATTAGAAGGAAAACTTAAAAATGAAAATGTGAAATAATTAGTGCTGTCAAATGATTAATCGCATCCAAAATAAAAGTTTTTGTTTACATAATATATGTGTGCACTGTGTATATTTATTATGTATATATAAATACAAACACATACAGTATATATTTTGAAAATATTTACATGTATATACATTTATATATTTATATTCTTATATTTTATATTATATATAAATATATTTAATATAATAAACATAACATATTTTTCTTAAATATATACATGCATGTGTTTGTATTTATATATACATAATAAATATACACAGTACACGTACATATATTACGTAAACAAAAACTTTTATTTTGGATGCGATAAATCACCATTAATCATTTGACAGTACTAGAAATAATGCTTTGGCTACTAACTGAAATACAATAAGCTGAAGTACTAAAATTACTAAAACATACTTAAAAAAAAAAAAAATTAATTAAAGCTAAACAGCTAAAAAATGAAAACTGAATATAAAATATAAAAGTAAAAGCTAAATATAAAAATAAATAGCTAATTCAAAACTAAAAAAAAACAAAAAACTGCTATAATAGTATTATAAATAATACTCAAATAACACTGATCTTAGCCCTTCAGGATTCTCGCACATTATTTCTTAAGTTTTGTTATTGTTAAATTATTTTTAGGGATGCACGATATTGGATTTTTACCGATACCCGATATGCCGATAATTTTCAACTCATTTTGGCCGATAGCCGATGCGGATATATAATTATTTTTAATTTTGGTTAGTTTTGAACAAGAACTTATTTGTTAGAATTAAATAAACAATAATAAAGTTATTTTATAATGCCAGTACATTGAAGATTTGAAAATAACTATAAATAAACTATATTAAATCGCTGCAAAAAGATGCAGTGGCAACCTTAACATTTTATTTTAAGATTTAACACTTGTAAATGGTCTAAAGCAAAAAAGTTGTAAAAATTCTGAAAATCTTTTAGAGCTCATAATTTGCTTAAAAAGTATTACACATTAATGAATAAATCAGTATATATACAATTATTTAATTTAAGTGTCATGTTTGTGATTTTTTTCAGAAAGATGCAGTAGTAACCTTAACATTTTATTTTATGATTTAACATTTGTAAATGGTCTAAAGCAAAAGACTTGTAAAAATTCTGAAAATATTTTAGAGCTCATAATTTGTTTAAAAATATATAACATATTACACATTAATGGATAAATCAGTATATATAAAATTATTTAATTTAAGTGTCATGTTTGTTATTTATTTATTTATTTTTGTTAATGTAAGCTATAGCTTCTGACCTTTAAATCAAACCATACTTATGATTTTATGGCATCAATTACTGCTTTATTTAATCAGAAAAACAGTCTAAATGTTATTTGTGTATTTTGCTTTCATTTTATTAGAAGTAGGCCAACAGCGCCCCCTACGGAATTAAAACTCGTTCCTGAGCAGGCATTAGGACCCGGAGGAGGCTGCCGCTGCACATGCTATTACTGTTTACTCTATCACACAGTGAACACGTCATTCTGTATGTGCATTCTCAGTTTAAATGCAGTGATCCAAAACAGTCAATCTAATCATCATTCAGGCAAAACTTTGCAGAATGAGCCACAATGCTGACCTGATCTAATAGCTAGCACACCCTGAGCACATGTGAGTTAATGTATTCCTCTTATCGGCAAGACATATCGGCATAATGTTTCATATCGGGCCGATGCCGATATTTACATTTAAAGCCATTATCGGCCGATTCCGATATTGGTCCAATAATATCGTGCATCCCTAATTATTCTTATATACTTTTAAAAAGACGAAGGGAGAAATAAAACAAACTAAAAAAACAAACCAAAACGATGAACAAAAAGAAATAAATAAACCCCATCGCTTGTTTTCTGTGGTTTATAGTTTGTAGGCTTGTAGTTCGTCTGGCAGCATGAATGTTTAGTCGTAACTAGCCTCTGCTAGAGGGTCAGTCGTCTCTCTCCGTATGTTGTTTACTGGGCTCTCGCCCCACCGGAGGTTTGATTTATGCTGTGTAATTGGCTGCTCTCGGTCGCCAGATCCTCTGCTGTGTCCAGCAGCCGCCACAGACACTCACACTCTATTACAGAGAGTTTGAGCTAGTTTAAGTGTTTATGTGAGCTTCGGATAGCACCACAATTTCTCAGAGTTAAAAGCTCAGGTCTGAAATATGTTCCCAGTAAACTGCTTCTACTGTCTACACAGACGGCATCCAAAATTAGAATATACCTTAGAAATGACTGGAAATGATTAGAGGCTCATGCACAAAAGAAATGCACGAGATATTTGGTCAAAACTCAATGCATTCTGACATTAGCATATTTAATTAGTGCATTTTAATTGACTAAAAGCATATAATAAATATTTTTTATATATGTAGTATTTTAATAAACATGATATAGTAATAAAATATTATATGCTATGTATATAAATCTATTAAATCTATTTTCTTACACACACACACAGACACACATATATATATATATATATATATATATATATTTATATACGTATTAGTAATATATACATACATTATAATACATAATAAATAATTAAACAATTGTTATTTTGTTATTTGCTGTACAGGGAGAGTGTTTGATCCTAATAAACACTGTGGGGTTTTGGACCCAGAGACAAAGCGGCCTTGCACTCGATCTTTAACCTGCAAGGTTGGTATCGTCACTCATTAGTGTAATTTAATCATCTCTGTCCACTGAGGATTGTGGTGGAGTTTAAAGTGTTTGTTTGTGTATGTTGTAGACTCACTCTCTAACCCATCGGCGAGCCGTCCCGGGACGGAGGAAAGACTTCGACATCCTTCTAGCGGAGCATAAGGGACGGGCGAAGGAGAAGGAGACGGGGCAAAAAAAGGATGTTCAAGCAGGCAGCCAATCAGTGCAGGTCACACAGTCACATGACTCAGCAACCAGCCTATCCACAAGCTGTACCAATGCCAAGACCACGCCCACTCTCAAACTGCAGCTGGCCAATTCACACTTACACAGGTACGCATTGCTGACTACAAGACTGTGCAATTGTTTTAATGTCTAGGTATCTATCATCTATTTTTTAAAGTAAAACAGAAAAAACATTGTTAAAATATTCAAAGCATGTTTTCCATGTTTTATTTATGTGCATTATTTATAATATGTATAAATAAACATTTATCATATTTTCCTACATAATTTTATGAAAACATTTTATATTAAATATTAGATATTTAACACATTTTTTTTTTATATTAAATAATATTAATATTTGTAGTAATATTAATATTTTTTAAAATATGACATTTTTAAGTGATGGTGCACTTTGAATTGTTGAATCAGAGTTCTGAATTAATTTATTGAACTGAACTGTATAAACTGATTCACAGATTTTAGTTTTATACTGAAATAAAATAAAATATAAATATTATCACTTTCATATATCTTGTAATATTATCATTATTGTAGTATGATGGTGAATAATTATTAGAATGTCAACTTTAAATGAAAATTAGAAATGTTGCCTTGGCAACTAACTGAAATAAAATAAATTTAAGTAGAAGTACTAAAATTACTGAAACGGAAAAATAAAAAACCTGACAATATCAAAATAGAATCCAATTCATAATATTAATAAATAAAAGAAATTAAGTTAAATAGAAATATAAAAAAGGCACAAGTACATAACAAAATAACTAAAAACTAAACTAAAATGAAACTAAAAAAAAAAAAAAAACGAATTCAAAACATTAATAAATACTATAATGGTATATAAATAATACAAAACTAACCATGTTTATTTGTCTATATTGTGTGCATAGAATGAGTTTGGCCCTTTAGAATCAAACTTACCAACTATATCATTTTTTTTTCTGCTGAAGTTTAAAATGGGAAAAGAAAAGATTGTTTAACTAGTATATAATAGGGGTTGCACCGACGCAACAGCCATGTGGGCGGCGCTGTGTCATATGCCATAGCTGTGCACAAGCTGTTTATCACAGCTCCAGACTTATTTGTTCATTAATGACGTCATCAGCGACTAGTCGACTTCGACTCGACTTTCATCACATAAAAGTCGACTTCAAAAAATCAGAAGTCGTTCAACCCCTAGTATATAATGACACGTTTTATAGAAAACTTAATGGGCAAATAAAAAGCGCATTTAATATAATTGCAATATTCACATGTTGCTCGATTTTTAAATTGCCAGAAAAAATGTTGAAATACTAAAAATACATGAACGCTAAACAGAAAAAAAAAATAAAAAAATGACAAAAGCACATAACAAAATTACCAAACCAAATGAAAATTCAAATAAATTAATTCAAATAAATAAATAAATAATAGTAGAGTATATAATAATACTAAAATATAACTTAAAAAAAAAATCTGAAAAATGTTCATCCTCGAGTTTCATCAGTCTTTTATTTGCAGCTCTGCAGCCGTTCCTCCTCCTGAGCTCAGCTGGCAGCAGTGCAGCAGAGACGCACATCTGTCCAGCGATGAAGGAGAAAGCGACCTCCCTGAGGAGTCTGAGAAGCTGCTGTGCCACTATTCTCCACAGCACCCGCGAGCCATGAGCGTGAGCTGCACCAAACCACTACATTACAACATTTGGGACCCTGTATATTGCTGTATATGCGTAAAGCATTTTAAAAATGGAGTAATATAAGGTGAAAACCCATTCTCTCCTGTCTTAGTGCTGTGCGTTCAGCAGTCGGTTGATGGGACGGGGGCACTACGTGTTCGACCGGCGGTGGGACCGGGTGCGGCTGGCGCTCCACTGCATGGTGGAAAAACACGTCAACTCTCTCATGTGGAGGTGAGCGTCCCGCATGGCCCACAGTTACACACTTGTCCATCCGCTCACACAATTATTGCTTATGAATTATGCATTTATGGGTGCATACATTCAGTTAACTTTTCCCATAATAGGGTGAATCTGTATATAGTAGGGGTTGTATTTCACCCCAAAATCACAAGAAAAAAATATTTTGAGTTAAGAAAATAAGGACTTGTCACAGTAATTTTTTTTATTTGGACATTATTTTCATTAACAGTTAATCTATTATTATTATTATTATTATTATTATTAATTATAATACAACAATTTATGTTTAATAATGCCATAGGAATATAGCCACCTTAAAATGTTGCAATGCAAAAATCTTACTGATCTTCAAAATAGACTTCATCTGCAAAATATTATCTTCACCCAAATATCATAAGAAATTAAATATATTTTGAATTAAGCAAAAAACCTGATCAAGATTTTTGTCTGCATTCTGACAATTATTTTCATGTTGTTTTATTTTTTTATGACATTATTAAACAAATCATTAAACATAAAATTATTGTTTTTATTAATAATAGTTTTTAAACATCATTAAACTGAATAATGTCATTAAATATGATTGTTGAATGATAGTAAATAATCATTCTTAGTAAACATGTTTATGGCGGTTAAGCATATTTACAAATAATAATTATTTATGTAATATTAGTTAAATTAATAATTAATATTTTTTCCAGGCTAAAAAAAAATAATAATTTGATTTATTATTCTGTAATATCTGAATATAAACACAATTAATGTTTAATAATGTATAATAATAATGTATATTAAATAATAATCATACAGATTTAAATAATAAATATATAGAAAAATAGCCTCATTAAAATAAAATTTAAATGTAAAAAAAGACTTCATTTTCTTTATGCAAAATATTATTTTTCTTTTTTTATTTAGGGGTGAAATATGACCAATATGTTTTTTTTTGGTGAGGGTTGTTTTATAAGCCTTTAATGAATTCAATGAATGTTAACAGCTTCAGTTCAGCTGTGTAGTTTTAGTACTCGAATGACTTTACAAAGGCTCAAAACGTTTTTTTTCACTCAGTGAACACACAACATTTAGGTTAATGTGCCACGCGGCTTCCTACCGCACACTGGTGATGTCATATCCTGTTTGTCACAGGAAAGTCCCCCTAGCGGTGGAGAGCATGACTAGCTCGACTGAAGTTTCTCCCCTCGGCTCTCCGTTCGTCCCCAACCACGCGCTGGCGGCTCCTCTGGACGGCGTCTCCATGGTCTCGTACGCCACCTCTTTCTCTCATAACGGCGCTGGGGTTTTCTGCATCCGGGACCCCGGACCCGGACCCAGACCGCAGCGGAATAAACCGGCCAAGCCGCCCAAAGCCTCAGGGGATGGAACGGGACCTAAAAAGCGGAAAGCGCCTCAGGCCTCTGAGTCACGAAAGAGCGGGAGCAGCGGGAACAGCTACCATCTGCCACTGGGCGCGGCACACATCAGTAACGGGACGGCGGCCCTCAGCGTGCGGGCCAAGCCGCGGCCGGGGGCCCCGGGGCCGAGGGAGCAGGACAGGTATGGGAGCGTGGAGCTGTCCCTCCCGCAGGCGCTCACCGGGGATCACGGGGGCGTCTCGTCCCACAGCCCGCTGCCCTACGGATCCTCCGATGGGAGGAAGAGGAAGAGCTCTGGATCGAGCGCCAGCAGCGACAAACCCAGCAAAAGCACCAAATCCACAGAACTGGACGGGGTCTTCAGGAAGAGCAGCAGCGGTTCGCCCCACAGCGCCCTCCCCAGACAGGTAAAACATGTTAAAAATGTAGTAACGTGTCTTTATAGACCGATAGATATAGACCGATTTTTTACGTGTGTTGATTTCAATTTATTGTATTTATCCACTGAAAAACACTCAATATGACATAAGATATATTAAGGAATAAAATATTATAATAGAAATATAAAATATTAAGGAATTTCAATATTGTAATTTGCAGGCCTGGAAAAGATTTATCATTTTTTTAATAGTATTTCATTTTTTTTAGAATATATATATTTTGAAAATAAAAATATTATTTATATAAATATATGTAAATGAATTATTATTTATTAAAATAAGATGAAAAGTTGTGATTTTTCAAGCATACACATATTCTCTATATATGTTTTTTTTCTACCCTGGAAAAGAATTACAATATTATATAATTATTATATTTATTATTATTTGTTATATTTTTATATTAATAATATGTTATATTTTATATTAATAAGTTATTTACAATCATGCAATTTTTCTAGTGTCTACATTTTATTCTAGTGTACTATATATTTTTTCTAGCTCATAAAAGATAGTCATTTTAAAAAAGATTGTAATTTAAAAAAAATATATCTTTTTACAATATATATTTAATAATATGTTTTTAAAAGTTTTGAATCATGATTTTTTTCTAGTATGAATATATTTTCTATTATATTTTTATGCACTAGAAGAAGAAAACATTACAGGTGTAAGAACCTTGGATAATGTGATGTATTTCTACATTATTTTCATACCATTTTTGCATTTTACTTTCATCTCATGAATGACGCTGAGGGTTTTTGCCGGCAATTCTCTTAGGTTTGTTTTTTTTTTGTTGTTGTTTTTTTTTTTTTTTCAAACTGTACATTCAGAATCCTTGCATATGCAAACCTACTAACCACCGATGTGTTTTGTAGCCCAAGGTCCCTCACTGATGCAGTGTGAGTTTGAGAAGAGCTTGGGACGTCCTGTAGACGCGGGACGCCAGCACTGTGTCTGTCCTGCCTTGATCCCACCGCTGCCTCTACGGTTGAGTCACGTCCTTCGCGTCCTCCTTTCCTACAGGGCTTCTTCCGTTCTGTTCCCATTAGGAATAAACGCTTCATCTGCCAGTTTATCGAAGAATGATTTCTCACGTTTCCTTCAGTCTCATGCAGATTCAGATTTTGATTTAACCAGTACACAACACGTTTCAGACATTCAGCGATACGGAGTTTTATTTTTATTTTCACGTAGATGAGGACAACATGAAGGAACACACTTCAGACTCAACCGTGTCGATCTAAAGTGCACTTAATTTCAAGTCTGAACTACGTAAAAAGGAGGGTTTCAAACAAGGGAATATTTTACAGACGCTTTTTCGGCAAGTTGTATTTTTCTAAATTGGATGAATTCCGGGTTTTGAGTATTTGTTTTTGACACACAAGTGTTTGTCGATTAAAAAAAAAAAAAAAAAAGAGGCCAGGACTGACACCTCTGTGGTAAAGCAACTTTAACCGGTGATGAATTTTGTATAATAATCGATCCTTTATTAATTTTCTAACTGACCTGATTAGTGCGTCACACGTTGAGCAGAAGTATATTTGTATGCCATTTTAAAGGTTTAAAGTATTATAGAGACCCTATTGTTGGAAATGTGTGTACATATCTTTTATTATAATTGTTTTGTTTTGTATTTATTGTTCGTATCTCTGAGAGGTTCAAGGATTTAGTGGTTACTTATCTTCCTCAGTCATATGTATCTTCATAGACCTAAAGATGGTTGGTTATGAAAGGGCCTTGCATCCTTCGCATTTTCCATTTATACTCTGATTATGTTTTTAAGGAATACTAACTGAAATGATGATGTGCCCACAGGATCCCAGTCTTTCAAGACTTTTCTAGAGGAAAGGTACATGGCTGTGAGCCAGTATTGGCAGTCGGCCCAGGTCTGTTGCCAATTTTGTTTTTTAAAGATGTTGTTAGGTCCTTTTATTGTTTGACCATCAGAAATGAAGACCTTCTCAAAGAGTTAACGGAGAAATGTTTGCTGTTTACTCTCTATTTACACTACCGCTTTATTTTTTATTCAGCAAGGACTCAAAAGTGGCATTTATAATGTGACAAAAAATAAACTTAATATTCCTCAAACAATCACAGTTTCCACAAAAATATGAAGCAGCACAACTGTTTTCAGCATTGATAATAATCAGAAATTTTCAGCATATTAGAATGATTTCTGAAGACTGGAGTAATGATGCTGAAAATTAAGCTTTGCATCACAGGAATAAATTAGATTTGAAAATATATTCAAATAGAAAACGGCTATTTTAATTTGTAATAATATTTCACAATTTTACTGTTTTTACCGTATTTTTTTATCAAATAAATGCAGCCTTGGTGAACAGAGACTTCTTTCAAAAACATAAAAAATCTTACATATCCCAAATTTTTGAACGGCAGTGTAAGTGTTCCTGGCCTAATTTTGCATAATTTTTAAGCATTATAATAAATGATATGGCAATAATGTGTCACCATGATAACTTTTAAAAAAGAAAGTCCCACTGAATATTCAGTTTTACACTGAAATTGCAACAGTAAAATGGATTGTAAATGGCATTTCATGTTGACATCAAAGGTGAAGTGCAAAGAATTGCAAAATGATGATTTCCAAACAGGTTTCCAGATCAGTGTGGTTTTGCATTGAGACGTTTTTTTCATAATTTACAATTCAGCTCCATGTCCTCTTGTTTAATCTCTGAGAAGCTCTTCATCACTAGCATAAGAATCTTAATATTTAAAGGAACAGTTCAGCCAAAAATGAACATTTTCTGAAAATGTACTCACCCTCAGGCCATTTAAGATGTAGATGAGTTTGTTTCCTCATCAGATTTGGAGAAATTGAACATATCACTTGCTCCTCTGCAGTGAATGGGTGCCATCAGAATGAGAGTCCAAACAGCTGATAAAAACATCACAGTAATCCATGATGGATTATGGACTTGTATTTTAGTCGAAGCAATGGTTTTAATTTAAACATTTCTTAATGTTGGATTTGTTTCTTACAAATACAGTTTTTCACTTCACAAGATGTTAATTGATGGACTGGAGTGGTGTGGATTATTGTGATGTTTTTATCAGATGTTTGAACTCTCATTCTGACGGTACCCATTCACTGCAGAGGATCCATTGGTGAGCAAGTGATGTAATGCTAAATTTCTCCAAATCTTATGAAGAAACAAACTCATCGACATCTCGGATGGCCTGAGGGTTTTCAGCAAAGTTTTGTCTGAACTATTCCTTTAAGGAGCCACAACTCCTGTAAAGATCCCTTTTTGCGCTTTTTTTTGGATTTGAGTACTATTTTATTTATAAAAACTATTGATATATGAATTTATAAGGAGAAATAAGTTTAGTTGTTCTGACTGTGCAAAGACAATACGCTCTGTAAACCCAGCTTGTGTTTGCTGTGACGGCTCTTTACCCCCGATTATTACCGTGTTGCCTTGCTGCCAATGCGAAACTGTCCATAGGTCAGCTACCAGAGCTAGAAACCAACCCCGGATCCCTTCCACACCATCTTTTATGCGTGAAGTGCTTCCATTTGGATTTGGCGCTGTAATGTTTTGAGGTCAAGCGTTCCCCCAATCCACACCGAGTCTTTATCATCACGGAGAAGAAAACTGCCTGGATGAGGATGTTTGGTTACATGTTTTGCCTTTTCCCATTGCACGTCAATCATTAGAGATTATTCTATGGAATTATTGACATGATAACATATATATATTTTTTTCAGAATAGCGTGAAGGACCACTTAAGTAAACCGAATGAATCAGAATGTGAAATTGTAATGCGGTCAAGATCTGATCATGGTACCCCTTTTTGACCTTCTGGCTCTTTCTTTTGGTCCAACAGTGCCACAAATCTGTGTACTGCAGTTCATCGACAGGAAATGTTGAACTGTAACTAAGCTATGAAGTACTATTATTATACAGTAGGTCCTTGTAAACACATCCCTCTTGTAGAAATTAAGGAATGTCACCATGGCATAGCAGTGCAATTTTTATTTATATATTTTTATTTTCTCTCTTTTAATTTAATTTTTTACAATTTGTTATTTCTTTATTTTTTTATATTTGTATAAATATAAAATAATAATCCATATTATTATTATGGAAGCCCATTTCCTTCACGAAAAAAAATAAAAAAGGTAATTGTGTTGTTTTTTTTGCAATTCTGACT